TTAAGAGGTTCGGATCTCAAAAAAACTTGGTTCTGTACCTATTTCGAGGACTTATTGGTCTATCTTCTTCCTTCCTTCACTCCAACTTCCTTGCTACTTCCTGCGCAATGAGAACGAGTTTCTGAACAACCGGAAAAACCATGGAAACGGAAAAGCAAAACGCCATAATAACGAGTTGATAAATACAACAGTTACACCCTTTTTTTACACTAGGTTATTAGAGATAAAGTAAGACTGGGAAATAATCACTCTGACGTTGGGAAACTGGGAAAATGGTAGGAGCCAAAAGGCAAAATGCTAAAGTCAATAGAAACTCAGAGCAGAACAGACACGAATGAATTCCCGACGACTCCCGTCGCCCGTTCCGAACGTGCGCAAAGGTTGAACGCCCTTTTGAGCGCTTTGACGTTTGTAAAAATTGAAAAGCTGTTTTCGATTCTTTTCATGTTTTTGCATGTTTGTTCGTGTTAATCATGTTATCATATTATCAATGGCTCGAGATTGACATGTTTACATACGAACGTTCTTGTAAAATGTCATTCCACCAAGTCCCCTTAGCGTCTGCCCAACCGGTTGAGCCTATGACGATGGCGACTGCGCTTGGATTGACGACCTACTTTAAATCAATTTACTGTGACTTAATGGTCGGATGTGGGCCTTTAACAAAAAGCGCTCCTACACTCTGAACACATGGTGGAATCCATTTTGGGGACTGAGACTTCCATTTTTACTTGTTCGACTGAGGGGACTGAGGCTTCCATTTTTACTTGTTTGACTGAGTGTTATTGAGCTTGTCTGGAGCGGTAGGAACATCAATTCGACGTTTCTATTTGTACCATAAACTATACACTGAATGCATGCGACCCACGGTCTTGAACTGATTGAGTGGGTGGCGCAGCTTTAGGTGAGTGAGTTGATATGCTTTTCGTAGAAGTACAAGAGCCTGGGTGTTCAAAATCTCCACAAAATAGCGCGGATAAACATAAAATCCAGCCAACTATCGTAGAAATACCGGTCTTACCGTTTACCCAGTAATTGGAGACGCTTCATGCATAATGACATAAGCTGGGGGTGGAGGGAACGAGACAGTTGTTGAGTGTTTGTGCGAGGATAGCATCGCCCTTCTCTCAGCCTTTCTCCTTCTCCCATTCCCGAGACATTAAATGACCAAAATTAGCCATCTGAACCCAAGATCATCCTCTAACGAATGAAATGAATGTGCGCTAACAAAGAAATTGCAAACGGGCGAAAATTAGTCGACATCGACAAATTTAGGAAAGAATACCACTAAATGCTCACTTTTTACTCTTCACCAGCCAGAATCAAAAAATCCAATTAGCTAAGGTCTCAGAATACTGATTATCGATTTATTGATTCCAGAACATTCGATGTCCAAGGTTTGGACATTTAAATTAATTAGGGTATATATCATCGATTTTTTCAAGCTTCAACTATGGACCTCACATGGTAGGACTTGTTGAAACTTGAAAATGAGCTGTGATTAAATGTGCTGTCATGTTCATGTTGCTCTCACCGTTCCCTAACAGTCCATCTGGTTTTGAATGCTTATCGATTTTACGCGCGCAAAACCATTTTCAATCCTTACTATATATAAACCACACATTCGGTGTGTCTGAGGGTTTTTATATGTAACGATAGTCGGCAATAAACCGAAGCAGTGTTACAGCTCGCATATGAAAGAGCCAGTTAAACGATACTCGATGACAGAAAAGTAATAGAGTAATAGAAAGATGGGTTAAAAAGAGCTGAGCGTGTGGAGGGTTTCGATGAATTTTCAATTTTATAGCAAAATTTTAAAGCTGCAGCTGTCATCTAGAATGTTTTAGAAAAATTCTTCAAAATTCTTACCTTCTCGCAATCGAAGGGAGCATAACTTATTCTAAGACAATATGAGTAAGAATTAATGAGCAGGCCATAAACCAACAAGTCATCAGATATTATCGTTTCTTAGAATCGAGGAGAATGAATATCATCGATTAATTCACAAGCAGCGAGGTAGAAATACTCGCGGGAAGCCAGATGGGACAGTTGTTTTCCAAAGATTTTTCTTGTTTCACATATCTCTCATTCTCAGCCTCCACTCTTCCAACTGAATGATGGTCTCTCAATCTGATTCAGCCCTACATCTAACTCCGAAAAATTCCAAGAACGTGGAGGCGAAACCAGCAGCGCCTCCGACAGACTCATAGTCAAGGAATCAAATCTCAGATGAAGATTGGCCTAGATCAACCAGACTTTCTCCCTCTTGGATTCCAGCTAGTTTGTAAAAAAAAAACGATTGGCTTCTACATCAGCCCATTGAGTATACTCCAGTTAATTTCTACTGCTTATGAAATAAATGTCAAAGAATAGCCACAGAAATCTCACGCCGTTCTATGACTCAAGGTTTTCAGAGTAATTGTTTTTTCGCCTCAACCATTTCATCGTTGTACCACCAAAAAAGGAAAACATTTTCTGATTAGATCTGAGGTATTCGCAAAAACCACGTAAGTATAAACGCAAAAAGACCGTAGGAGCACCAGTGGTTTNAGAATCGAGGAGAATGAATATCACCGATTAATTCACAAGCAGCGAGGTACACA